GGTTCTGCTCACGCTTGTACAAAGTCAATGGTTATAATTTGCAATAAGATGATACTTGGTCAATTATTTTTGTTTCCAGCTGCTGTCATTTGAACCTGCTGAAGATTATTTTTTGGAAAATAGAGTTCAACAAAACTAGTTTTTGTGTAAATTGTGATGCATTTCTATGTTGTAATTTTTACTGCCGATCTTTTTGGATGAAAATGTTTTTATACAGCTTACAAAATGTTCAGTGAGGATCAGCCGCAGCCTGCCTGTGAGCATTCGGGGAGATACTGTCCGATTAATACGTAGACATTTGGCACTGGAAAAATAGGCAGTCTTGAACAGTCTTGGGATTCCTGGTCAATGGAATAAAGTTATTCCTTTCACAGAAAACTAGTGTAATCTTTAGAGTGCGCATACACTGCTACGCTGTTGTCTTGTTGATCCTCTTATCTTGAAACTTCTTAGGCCAGTCCTGCAGGTGATAAGCTCCGAGAGGTTGCCCTGATTGCCGTTTTGGCTCCTGTCCATTGTAAATGAAGCAGCTGCCTGCCCCCGTGGCTGTGCTGCTGTACACGCTTACACCGGGGCGTGTGCCGGGGCACTGTCAGATCTGTATCTGTGGGCAGTTTCTTCTGACCTTCTTAGCAGAATGATCTACCCTGGCTACGCTTGCAGTCAGGGATTAGGCCGGCTTTTGTGTGTCAGATTTGCAGGCGATCTGGACTGTAATTAATACTGCCTTTTCCGTTGGTGCGAGGTGCTGAAAGCTGGAGCCGCAGCAGTGCCGCGGTGCCGGTGTATCCCCCTGCTCACCCCTCTGCTGCTGCCCCAGCAGAACCAGGAGCTACAGCCAGGGCTGCCGGCCCGGCTCTGCCTCCCTGACAGGCACCTTTGTCCTCCACTCTAAGGACAAAGACTTTCACATTTTAGGCATGACCCAGCCCCTGCTCCCCCCTGGCAGGGCCAGTCCTGTGAGCCTGGACTGGGTGTTGCAAAGAGGGTGCTGACAGGACTGTCCCCAGTGTACCTGGGTCAGCACGGCTTTCTCCTGAACCAGAGGGGCTTTTCTGCCTACCCGCATCCAAGATACTAAGCAAGGGCTAATCTTTTAATACCATTTCCTTCCACCAGGCTTATGCTTGCTTGAACTAAGCCGTGAAAGCTGTATCTGGCTTATTGTGCATGGAACGTGCTCACACCTTGTACTGGGAGCCAGCGGGGAATCAGGCAGCAGGATCTTCTCCTCTTGCAGGGAAGTCAGCTGAGGTGAAATATCTGATGTGTGTTTTGAGAGGTTATAGCCTAGTGAGTCTGCTGAAAAATTACCAGCTGTGTCAGAGCTGTTCAGGAATTCTTAGGCTAACATCCCTTTTTGTCTCACCCCCTTTGTGCAAAATTCAGATTATAGCTGATGAAGTTATGGGTTGTAATTATATACATCTTATGTAATTGCATGTTTAGATTAGGGCTGGGCTTTTTGCCATCTTTAGGTAACAAGTTAGAAATAGTTTAAACCTTTCACAGTGGTGCTTCGTGCTTGGTCTCTCTTCTCTTGCCCATTAAAGCTGGATTAATAGATCTCTATAAGGGGCTTTTTGATGGGGGAAAAACACCCCAACCTAGAATAGCCAAAGTTTGAAAGGTTAACCTGCTGCTTGTGGTATCAAGCTTTATTTTTCTCATCTGTCCTCAGGTAACGCAACACAAATTATACATTGTAGTACTAGGAGGCTGCTAATCACCCCAAAAATGTGAGCCCCAGCTTTGGTGGCTTCAGGTACTTCTCAGCCTGCCTCTGCTGCTGTGCATCTCTCTGTGAGCATCTGTGCTTTACCTTCTTGCTGGGGCTTTAATGTTTATCACGTGAAGACCAATGTTACTAGAAACAGCGGCAAAAAGCACAAGGGCACGTTCCCCAAACGTGGATGATGGTTTGTTTCCGTAACTGGAAGCTCTTATCCTACACCACTGTTTTAAAAACAAACTTCCTGCGTGTGCATGGGACAACAAGACTCAGCTCCTTGTTCTCTGCTCGGGCAAGGGGAGTCTGTGCTGACCTTGGAGGCTCCAGGGGCCCCTCCTGCCGGAGGCAGGTTTGGAGCCCGTGGTGGCAGCCTGGGGCTGGCTCGCTAACGAAGCAGAGCTCGTTTTGGGGAGCAGCATCCCTGCCTGCCGAGTGCCAGCTCCCCCTTCCAGGCTGATTCCCCCTGGGTATGTACTTGAAGCCAGACAATGGATCAGATCTGCTGAGCACTGGTCTGTGAATTTTATTTTAAAAAGACGTTTATAAAATGTTTATTTATAAAATTCCAAATAAATATTTAAGGTACAAATGTAAAAACCAAGGTACTATGAAAGCTCTTTTTCTTCTTTCTTTTTTTTTTTAAAAAAAAAAAAAAGGAATTACAGCCAGTTCTATGTGTCTTGGGAAAACCTGAAAGGGAAACTTAAAGCAAGGCATAACACCAGATCATTAACTTTGACTTAATAATAGAAAAACCACTACGAAAGCAGTAGTTGACTGTAGCAATACAGATTAAAATCTAATTAAACAAGCAGACTCTTTAAACTACAGCCCCTACACTTGACTAAGTAAAGAGGTCTCTTAGGTACATGAGTAGGCAATTATAAAACTGCCCAAAAAGGGCTAAACTATGATTTTTCAGGTGCTGAGCAGCATTAGCTGGTATATAACGAGCAACAAAGGAGGAAAATAGGGGTTGGGTTTTTTTCAAAGGTGGTGGTTTTGTCCTATGCTGGGTGACAACACGAACGAACAGCCTCAAGACGCCTCATACGGTCAGGGTGGTTCTAGAAAGACCCTGTGTGTGGTGGGGAAAGGATTCGGGGATGGCTCCTGGGGTGGGACAGGGCTCCGGCTGCGCGGGGGATGCTTGGAGACCGCTTTGCAGAGCAGCAAAAGGGTGACAAACTTGTGGCCCACCCTCACGGCAGCCCAAGCGCGGGGGTTGGCAGCAGTGTTGCAGCGTGGACCGGGATGGCACC